CTAATGATTTCAAGTCAGAATGCACACAGCTGGATATTCAAACCCCAGGTTAAATTTTGTTTTCTGACACATCACCTGTTTTGAGTTTGAAAATAAGACTGTGCTGTGAAAGATATTCAAGAAAGAGGAATATGCAGTAATGAAAAAGTTCACTTCTTTGACCTAACTGCTACCAAACCCTTGGGGGAAAAATGTTTCCCTTTATCTCTGAAATCAACCTGTAGAAGTTTCAGTTCCTGAGGCAGGTATAACTACAGTTGCTATGTATGCTATTAAAACTTCTGCAAAGCCATTTTTCTTGAAGGGTAGGAAAATTGTTTGGGGCTAAGTTGGGACTAGTTTGATTGCCTCTGATATAAACATCTCTGAATTATACTTTCTTACATGCACAAGTAACCTAAGAACCTCAAATCAACGAAGAAAGCAGATTGACTAGGCACAATAGACTTTTTTTTTTTCAAAAGCAAAATTGAGTACAATAATAACAGCTTTCAGAAACTGTGAAAATGTCAATGCAAGGAAATTAGTTCTAACGCAAGCTAAGCCATGGAATCTTATTGAAAAAAGTCTCATTTGAACATGGGACATTTAAGTACTGAATGTATAAGGATAAACACAAGGAACTCACAGGAAGCCATTATTTACAATAAGAAAAAAAATCACATTGTAACGATTATAGATTTGAGTGCAAAATATTTTGCCTGATTTTTGTTTCATTGCCTCTTTGTCATTGGGAGGCCTGTCTGATGATTTGGGTAAGTCTTATGGGTGAATATCTTTGTGTTTGCTCAGCAGAGAACAACAGTTGCAATATGTAAATAGGGCACCTCTTCCTTTTGGATGCCTTGGGATATGTATAATAGATTAAGTTGGCTTTGTGCAGAGCAAACAGGTCTGTATTACCAAGAATATGAATAATGTCAGCTTCCATAATTGCTAACATCTGGCTTTCCATAAATCTGTTAAATTGCATGGAAGCAGAATTAGATTTCTGTGTCATAAGTAAAGCAATTACATGGAACTCCGTAGGCAATATGGTCTTATATTCAACTGTGAAACTCTTTCATTCTGGAGAGGTGAAAGCAAATCCTGCTTTTGCACCCTATGTTTATTATGCATGCTAGGTACATTTGTCTTTATGCTCATTTTTTTAAATTTACAAGAGGAATACACTGCCAATATGTTTGCAACTTTGTAAATGCAAAATAACCAAATATTTGAAAAGCATATTATACTTTGCATTAATTGCTAACTTGGAGATTATTTCAGAGGAGATCATACAGTATAGATCCTTTTGTAGGCACTGGTAGTGGATTGGCTGAAATTGAATGTCCAGAATATTTTTGGAGTGATTTGTTAATGGGTTTTCATCTGCTCATATTCTCAAACATTTGACAGGAAAATGGAGTGCTTTTTTCTGGGAATGGGAGTTGTCTTCCTATCTCAGTGTGTTACTATTTTGCTGTATTATTCTACTTTAAACTAGACCCAAAGAGCTTTCACAGATGAGAACTTAATAACAAAATGATTCCTCTGAAGAGTAGGCTTTGCTTATGCCTTGTGCTCATTGAATATTCTAAAGACCAGATTTAAGTACAGTGGGCTTTATAATAGTACTGATTTGTGAATTTTCTGGATTTGGTTAATTCAGTTAAATGAATATACTGACCATCCACAGTATTTTATGTTGTTGTTGTTGTTGTTATTTTGTCATTATTGTGGCACTGGGAAGAGAAAGAGAAATGAAATGTAGTCCTTGCCCTCAATGATCTCACTGTCTATGGAGATGGACATATTAAATATGTAACTCTTTATTTAGAGTTGACCCTTACTATGGAATTGTGTATAAAGTACATAGAAATCAAAGTCTATATTGGCTGTCTAGCAGAATGAGGGATGGTGATGGTTAATCTGTAAATCTGGCTTTTGAAGACTGTGTAGGATTGAAGCTAACAGAGTAAAGAAAGTACTTCTCAATTAACTTATTCATACCTCACCTCATTCTATAGAGATTATTAAAAAGTAGAGAAAATATATGTTCCAAGACACAAACACAGAAATGGAATGATCTGTTTGTGATCTTCCATTGATATATATATATATATATATATACACACATATACACAGATGTGCAAAAATTGCATATGTTTATGGTATACAACATGATATTTTGAAATAAATATTTATTGTGAAATAGCAAATTTAAGTTAATTTATGCATTGCTTCACATACTTCCTTTTCATTGTGGGAACACAAATTGTACTCTCAGTAATTTTCAAGAATACATTACATTGTTAACCATTAACTGCAGTCACCATGTTGCACAATAGATCTTGAACTTATTTCGCCTAACTAAAAATTTTTATTTGTTGCTTTTGAATAAAAGAAGGAAGGAAAGAAGATAACAATTGAAGTTTTCAGGGTTTACATGAAATGCTGATAACTTGAATTGTCTATTATAAGCACTGGAGAAATACTGAAAGGTGGTGAGCAGAGGAGTGACACAGACAGCCTGCTTTTTAACTGCCACTGTCCTATGGAAGATATTGAGATCAGAGGCTTTCACCTGGCTGAACAGAGCCCAGATATCTGGATCCTACTTTATATCAATTAAATCTGTTCCTAGGGGTGGTAAGTTAGAGCATTGGTACTTATACAAGTCTACAAATATTTCCACTCTGCCTACAATAAAAAATCAGTATATTAGAATGACAACTGGCTGGAGGGTGAATTGAAGGCTAATGCTAAGTCTCTCAGTAATGAATATGAGGATTGTAACCAACAGCTTGAAGAAACCTGAATTTTATTATTTTATTTCCTACATAATGGCACATCTATCTATCTCTCTCTATCCATCCATCCTTCTGTCTATCTATAGATGTTCCTAGATATGCAAACTAGGTTATAAATATAATCACAGAAATATAAGGCTGCATATTTGTAATTAAGTTTCTTTCAGCAAAACTTAGGAGTAAGAATAATGGAAATGTGTGCATTTAGTGTTGTTCCAAAATAGTATGTGCCTGAATGCTAAGCCATATTCTACCAACTGTTATTGCAATTGGAGTTCAAAAGAGGTTAGTGATTATTGCAAATTAGCGTCATATTAGCAGATGATTATCTGAGAAGGTGGGGCTTGAACTTGGTCTTTAAAGTTTACCTTTATCAAATCAAGAAACCATGTAATTAACCTTATTATATTATCCATATTGTAATGTTCAGGAGACTGTGGATTGGGTAATATACAAGTAGATGATAAAGGAGGATTAGATAGGCTAAATGATGTGTCCTAGGGCTTAGTCTTGTGATGTGTAAGGTGAATTGGACATGGTAAACACTGAATTAAAAGGAAGTGCTTGGTTTCAAACATGAGTCCCCTGATTTCTTCATTCAATGCTAATTTCAGTTGGGAAGAGTTAGAATTGGGGAAGAAGAATGAGGAGATGAGTGAGGCAACTAGAAAGGAGCATCATATGTTAAGTGCATTCAAAATGGAATGGACATGACCAGTGACCCTGAGTGGGGGAGAGGAGAGGGATACCTGACTGTGGTTGATTCAGAATCCAGGCATCATAATTTGGGATCATTTCCATAGTTTTCAAAGACAGAATCACTGTTCATTAACTAGGCCCAGGATACAATCCCTGTTCTAATGTGTGCTAACTGTATGACCAGTTAACCTCTCTGTACCTCAGTTTGCCCTTGTGAAATGAGGATAATTATTTGTCTTATGATCTTATAGTATAATTCATGAAAAAATAACTTTGAAAAGCTGTGGGACTATATATGCACATATAGTTTTATGTTATATGTGTGTATGTATAGACATATATATGTATCGTAATTCTGGTAAAATTGATATTATTCCAGAAACGGCTCTGAACTTTTGTGGAACATACCACTACTGATTTTTTTTTAAGTTCTGTTCCATTATCCTTAACCAAATGCTTATAACTTTACATATAATTGAAGATAAACTTTAGGATGTAGAATAAGTTATTATTGTAATATTCCACCAGTCTACAGGTATCAAGTCCAGCAATTAGTATTTTATCAATAGTCACCTTGGGTATTTCTGTAACTTCAATGAGTAGAAGTTACTGGGTAATCTATTTTATCTCAAATGAAGGAAGACATTTCTTTTTTTTTCTTAAGTCTTCAAAAGGGGAATCTTCTGCCTTGTGAGGTTATGTATTGACTGCTTGGAAGCAGTACAAGCCAGGGCTGGACAGGTATGTACGTGGCTGAGATGATGTTAGGGTCACTCAAGCTTTAATGGTCAGAATGGACTAACTGGATTTACGTTTTCCTTCAACCTTTGGCTTTCAATTAAAACAACACCATATATGTATGTCTTTTATCAGCATCCATACCATGCCCTACTATAGCTCTGATATTTTTTTTAAGGGGAGCACAAGTACAGCTGGCCATTAGAATGAAAGCATTTGATCAGATAAGGCACCTGCTAAGAATTATTCCCACTTCTTTTAGCCTTGACTTCAGGATCTTGGGGCAATCTAATTGGGACAGGTTGCCGTAATTGCTCACTTGTTCCTACTCAGTGGCTTATCTATGCACACATTTTCTAAAAGACTTAGGTCTCCATGGGGTGTATCTACAGCTAATGAATTAACAGTGTTTATGGCCACCGGATAGATGAGTTCTTGAGCATATCCTAAAGGCAGTTCATAGCTGCTACTGGAGATTTTGGTAATTGGAATCAAGCGCCTGTAAGTTTGGGTCTCAGACCAGCCACTTCCTAACTGTATGACAGCAGATGCATAATTTAACTCTAAAAACCTCAGCTCTATTATTTGCAGAATAGGGACAAGAACAGATCCTTCCACAGGGAGCTGCTTTGCAGAGTAAAAGAGATAATACATGTTACCAATCTAGCACAGGTAAATGCTCAATAATTGTAGTTAATGTTATTGCACATTGTTGTTATTTTCTGAGTCTACCTGACTAGATTCTCAAGTTCCATGGTTTATTTTTTGCAGACATTGATGAATGTGCCTTAAGAACTCACACCTGTTGGAATGATTCTGCCTGCATTAACTTGGCGGGGGGCTTTGACTGCCTCTGTCCCTCTGGACCCTCGTGCTCTGGTGACTGCCCCCATGAGGGAGGGCTGAAGCACAACGGACAGGTGTGGACCCTGAAAGAAGACAGGTGTTCTGTCTGTTCCTGCAAGGTGAGGCTGATGTGCTGTAACAGAATTGTCATTGTTCTCTACCTTCCCCTTCACCTCTGCCTCCTCACAGCTCTCCCACTGGCTGTTGACCTGTGGCTCTCCTGTGGCTCCTGAAAAGGCTTCTCCTGTTCTAATCCACAATACAACTAATGAGGATGCTGAAGGGCAGGCAAATCTCCTGTGAATTGATTGGTCTCTTGGTGAAAAGTGAGGTGTGGAGTTGACAAGAGACTGCACAAAGGGGTAGCAGGGGGCAGGGAAGTCAATGTTGATCCGCTACTGAGAGCCTGCAGGTCCTTTAAGGTTGTTGGGTGAGAGGTTTAATGAGCACTCCACTTACACTTACAGAAACTTGCTGATTAAAACAACTCTTTGTCTGCAGTGATCTTCTGTGTGAACCTGCTCATTTTTGTGGTAACATCAGTCAAAATTCAAGGCTCACAGACTTGCTCCTCGTGGTCAGAGACAGGTGGACTTCCATTCCAACCACATTATAGTGATAGTGCGTGGCCCCTTAGTAATTGATATCTTCTTTATAATTCTCAGTGCTGGGCTATTTCTTACAGTAAGTTGTTTGGAAGGGAGTTTTAATGCTTATGAAAATAAAATTCTGTCATCATGTGGTTTTTACTTTATGCTTTGCAAAATGGGCCTATTAAAGTGTTTGATTTTCTTGTGCTTTACTTCTTCTTTGTCAATCGCACATATTTATTTTCCTTTGTTATTGTTCTACTGTAGTTCTTGCTTGTATTTCTGTGCCTATTCGGATGAGACTAATTAATCTTGGGCTTTATGGGCATGGTAACCAAGAGAAATTACTTGCTTAGTTGCCTCTTTAAAAGTTAGGTCTACTGATAAATTCTTACTCTACTCCCTAGACACAGAGCTGGAATGAGTCTTAAGAATCTATCCTTCTACATTTAAGTCTGCCACACCTCAACAGACCTGAGGTGGCCTATTTAGTAGAGCTATATTACCAGGTCTGTACCCTCTAACACTTGTTTCCCTCCTTAAACTTACACTTCATTTCCACACACACAATTTTTTGTAGCATTTATTGAGCATATGCTATATTTCAATCATCCTATAGTTATAAAAATAGCATCCTGTTTTATTCTTTTATCACAACTTTGAAAGATGAAGAAACAGTCTCTAGGGAGTCAAGTAATTGTCGTAAATATGGAATATTTATATAAGAACCTGTGTTCCATTGGCATACCCCAACATTAATAGTTTCTTCCATATTGTCAGATGTCTGTAACACTCTATGATGATACTCACTACTATCTTTTAAACTAAATAGGCAATCTGTCAATCCAGTCTATTTGAACTCAAATTGTCAATTCAGCATTATCTTAGCAACTGTTGGGACATTCTTTCAAAAATGTTTTAGTTTTTTAGTATAATATTTAGTAATGCAGTGCTGACTCAAAGGACAAAGGATTTCAAGAGGAAGAAAAGCACTTTATGGATTAATATAGTTGTGAAGGGTAAATGGAAGATGTTAGCAATAGGGCCCCTGTTCAGCCAGCAAAATGGGGATGAATTTATTTTTTGAGAAAGAATTGTGTTTCCAAAGTTTTTGAGGATGGTTACAACCTGAACTGAAGTCCTTTTAAGATTTTCTAGGTCATCAGATCCTGAAATAGGCAAGGGACGTTAGTTGTATATTGACTACTGTGAGAGAGACCAAACTTCTCTTTTAAGTTTTTGTTTCATCTCAGTCCATGATAAAGCAAGGAACCTACCAATCATTAAAAATTTCCCAGGGCTTCATTAATTAACTGTGTTAACAATCCAAGCAGCCTGATTTATTTCATTTCGACTCCTAAAGTATCTCCAAAGTCTTATGAGAATTAGTCTGAAATTGCCACAGGAGATGAGCAATCCTTGTAATCTTATTTTGTTAATAAGATGCACCTCTATTACCACCACCATCTCCCTCTTTTCTGAATAAAGTATTAGGAAGATTTCCTTCCATAAATCTTTCTGTTGCTGTTGTTTCATTTTCTAATTGAATTCATTACCCATTTATAGAGAGCATCATTTTAGGAGCTGATAAAGCACCTCAAATCACTTCTAGAAGTCATCCTTATAAAATGAACTATTTGTGACCCTGCTTTTTGTTTTTAACATTTGCAGTCCAAACTGTCCCATTCCAATTTTACAAGAAATATCTCCAGTACTTAAGTATCCAAATGGACAATTATCGTGGTATCATCTTGGAAGATGTGAAATAAAATCAAGGTTACGGTATAAAGTGTTCTCTTTTCAGTTCTATCCTTGATGCTTTAAATTCAAATTAAAACAAATCATACAGCACAGAATCACATAAGCTAACAAAGGTCAAGGGTCACCATTGAAAGGAGCAGAGTCAGAGTTCTTGTAAAAGGTCATCCCAACCACCTTCTCAGAGTAAATACACCAGGTTAGTTAGTACTATTTGATACCAATTGGAAGAAAGGCCTTCAAGCATGTCCACAGGTGAATGGAGTTCAATGATAAAGCTAGGTCAGTAAAAATGGATTTGAGCTTTTATTTATTTAGATTCTTTGTGTTTCCTTAGTAGTAACAAGATTTTGTGCCCCTTTAGGTCACTTAGTTCATTGGGCACCAGGAGACTGGTTAAACTACTTGGAACCCATGTTCTTTCAGCATTATCTAGATCACAGAAAACCAGGTGAAAAAGTTGTCTCTGGGTTTGGTACATACACCTCCGTTATAGCCCACCTTCTTTTTATAGGTACCCATATGTAGCCTTTCCATTCATAAATTTGTCCAGGGCCTTTGGAAGTCATATTTATATCTATTTCAGTTTCATGGAAAGGTAGCAAGGTCCTAGGTTTATTAGTGCCTATGAAATGCAGCATTTTATTATAACTATTTGTGTTCTTATTGGGGATCATGGAGATGGAGAAGGAAGTGGATATATAATTAAACACCTGTCACTCTGTTAAAGTCTGAGTCATTGCTATGGGAATATAGAAAATGAAAGGTATATTGTGAGAGAATGAAAAAGGAAATAGAGGAAGGCTTCGCAGAGAAGATAACCCTGAATAGGATCCTAAAGAGAAATTTAGCTCAGGAGAGAAGTGAATTCCAAACAGAAAAAACCATAACAGCGAACATGCAGAAGCATAAGAATATATGTTATGCTAGATGTAAGAAGAAAATTATGGGATACAGGGCAAAGTATGGGAAGGGAATAGTTGATCATGAGCCTAGAGATAAAGGCTGGAGATGGAGTAGGGCATGAATATGTCATCCTGTAGGCAGCAAAGGATTATGATTGGGATGCCTTGTTATTGGTCTGATTGACAGCATGATAGATGGCCTGAGGAGTTTGAAGCTAACTAGAAAGAACCACTTAGACTGAGATAAAGGTTCAAGAAAGTGAAGGTTAAAATCTGAAAGAGGAACTGACAGGTGAGATCACATGAGAGAAAACACAGAAGTGAAATAATGTGTTTTGATAACTGATTATGTCAGAAACTGAGCTTCTGTTATTATGGCTTCTCTATTTTGGGGGCAAAAAAAATATTCATAGAGGTTTGAGACTTAGCTTTTTTCCTAGGTGAATAGAATCTATGTACCACTAAGAGAAAGCCAAGGTTTGTAAGTCGGGCATTTTTACATTTGATGTTAGCTTCTATTACATCTACTCCTCCATGTACACGTTATATCCACACCTACTACCATAGTAGGCCACTCTGTTTATTATTTCTTTCACTATTTTCAGTTAACCATAGTCAATCACAGCTCAAAATTATCAACTTGAAAATTCTAGAAATAAAAAGTTCATAAACTTTAAATTGCCTGTTGTTCCAAGTAGAGAGCTGAATGATTGCACTATCCTGCTTCGTGTAGCCTGGGATGTGAATTATGCCATCATCCAGGGTATCTAGGGTGTATATGCTACCTGCCCATTAATCTCTTGGTAGCCATCATGGTTATCAGATAGACTTTGGTGGTATTATAGTGCTTGTGTTCCAAAACATCTTGTGTTGTAGCCTAAGACTATATTACAATACCATTTTTGTTTACTTCATATAATCATCTCATCTTGTGGCATAGTATCACCTCACATCACCACAAAAAGTATAAGTACATCACAATAAGATATTGGGAGCAAGAGAGACTGTATTCATATAACTTTTATTACAGTATATTTTTATGTTGTTTTGTTATTATAATCTCTTACAGTGCCTAATTTAGAAATTAAACTTTACTATAGGTATGTATGTATAGTAAGAACAATATATATGAGATTTTGAACTATCCATGGTTTCAGACATCCACTGGAAGTCTTTGACTGTATCTTCCATGGATTATGGGGAACCACTGTGGTATCATTAATAACTAGAAAATCTGGTGAAAGAAAGGGGAAATAAAACTATGAAGGCTAGATTTCATTTCTTTGCTTTTATTCAGATTTTTTTTAAAGTGAATAACATTCATTCTCTAACTAAATCCTAAATACTAGAGCAGAACCAAATCTTGAGTTTTTCTGGGAACTATAAAAATGAGTATTGAAAGGGATACCATAAATAGCAAATCATATGTCTTAATAAAATCACAAATTTCTGTGATAACACAGAAAACGAGGGTGAAATGAAGAAAATCTTGGACATGAGGCTCTCTGTTATGGTGACCCTTTCCCCTGACTTTATTTGAACTTTTTCTCAGACACTGAGGACGATAACCATACTAGCAACACCTAAAGGACTCAAGCATCTCTTTCTAACAAGGACAGAAGACACTGATCTGCAAGGAGCTATCAAAAAAAATGACCCTTCCATCTTAATTATACTCACTCATGATTTTATGAAGATGAGAGATGAGTCAGTCTGTGTCTGGGCCCAGGGTAAATAAATTAGTTATTAGATTCCTGCAACCTACTCATAAAGATATTTCACTTTGCTCTTTGAACTCGATCAGGAACATTATCAATACCTTGTTGTTTATAGTGCTTTCGATGGCAACACTTGGATGTTCAGCCCTTAAGATCATGTTTCTTATTTTTTCAAAGGTGAACATATTGGCAGGTTTTATTGAGCTCCCAGATCTCTAGAGGTTTAGTCAGAATACAAGATCTCCATTTCTGTTTCACCAACTTTATTCTCCTATTGTAATGTTCCAAATATCCCGCCTTTTAATTGTAAGAGGCTGAGAGTCATGACATGATAAATTCTCAGTTGATCAGGTTGGGTTGTCCCCCCCCCCCCACTCTATGGTTCTGAGACTTTTCTTACTCCACAGTCACCTAAAGGGCTGTGAAACCCCAATCACTGGCGTCTCCCCCAAGAATTTGTGGTTCAGTAGTTTTAGGGTGGAGCAAGATAATTTGCACTTCTAACTAGTTCCTAGGGGATACTAATGTTCCTGGTTGGGGGACTGTACTTAGAGAATTATTACCTCAAGAATCCTTCTGGTCTCATTTTAGCTGAAATCATTTTTTGCTACCCTCCATCATCCTCTAGATACAAGAATGTGTAGTGGTAGAAAACCATTGTTATAAAAGCCAGATTCTATTTTGTTATTAATTTCTACATGGAAAAATCATTTCCCCTTCACTGGGCCTAGTTTCCTGCTTCATTAAAATGATCATCAAAGATGTTTTGATCCCAGGAACTAATAAGAAATACTAAGACACCAAATCGTGAGCTATGCTGTGACCTAATGGCAAAATTAACACTTGGTTAAAAAAAAAAAAAAAGATTGGAAAGCACAGCCTGACTCATGTGAGAATGGATAAAAATAGGTTTGGAGCACTACTCCTAATTTTACCTAATTTATAGTTTATACCAAAGATCAACAGACTTTTTTCTTTTGAAGGACAGGAGTAAATATTTTAAGCTTTGCAGATCATAAAATCTCTGTCCCAAATACTCAGTTCTGCATTGTAATGCTAAAGTAGCCAAAGACAATATGTCAATGAATGAGGGAAGCTGTGTTCCCATAAGACTATTTTCAGAAGCAGGCAACAGGCTGAATTTGGACTTGGACATCAGTTTGCCAACATTCAGTTTATATTTTTATTCAGTTTACCTAAATAATTTCACCTAAGTCCACCTCCTTGATTTAAAGTTTTCAGAACTCAATGGCAGAAAAAACAATTGCCATATCATGTAACCTGGAGTATTGCTACAACTGTGTTGAATATACAATTTAAGATGTATGATTTATAATACAAAATCTATAATTTCCATGACATAATAAAAATAAATCATTTTTAAAATTTCTACCAAATTATATGCCCCTGTTTTCAAAAATTCAGAAAATGTACATAAATATTATGATACTTACAGTTTACAGTTGAGCTTTCACTATAAAACTGAATGAAAAGACTTAGCTTCTGAGGCAGAAGAGAGGGGAAATAATATCTGTGGAATTTGAATTGGGATTGATCTGTCCAACGCAGCCGGGAAAGAAGTCCAACTCTGGGAAGTGACCCAGTGGTCTGTGGCAAGAGGGCCGACTCACCATGGTAGGCTCCATTCCCTTCCCATATTTGGTTTCCTGTGTGGTTGTGCACTGTGAACTGTCCTAATCATGTTCTCATTGAATTCATGGAGGCACCTGTGACATTTTCATTATTAAAAATGTTTTTTCTTGACAGCTACCCTGTAATTCAAAGCCAAAGTGAACACAGCCATTGTTCTGAAACACCACAGAAGCTAAGAAGGACCCATTTGGTATTTTCACATAATTGATGAGATAGGAAATTGCTTTATTTTGGACTTACTCTGGAGGCTATCCATTCATTTTTATTCTCTTTTATTTAATCAGCACATGGCAAGAAACCTGGCATTCTGATTGGGTCCCTTTGCCAAAAGTATAGTAAACTCTTCTAAGAGAATTTATCCTCTTATTTGATGCTGGGCTTGGACTTGGGCATATTGGTTCCTGGGGCTTAGTCCTTCTCTCCTTGGGAAGAGTCTTATAGTGCCATAGACAATGGAGCTGACAAAATGGTTTCTTGTTGTTGCTCATTACATTTCTTAGCTTTGGTTGGATAAAATGAATTCCCAGGAAATCATTTGGGGTCATGACTTCATAAGGTATAGGAGTGAATTAAAGTAATGTTTAGCTGTAAGCCAAAAGACTATTGTTAGAAGTTTCTTGGAATCTGGATACCTCTTTGTCCAAGCTACCTGAATTCTCTGACCTCTGAGTCTCCTTTCTCTCTCAATATATATACATTCTTGCAAACACACAAGTATCTCTATGTGTATTATCTCTCATTTCCTGATATTTTCAGAATACTGTGACTTCTTTTCATTCTCTATAGTATAGCCAATAATACAATTTGAGCAAAAGCATTTTTTCCAACTATTAAGTCATTACATATGTAGCTAGTATCTCCTTTTCATTCTCTATAAAGAATGTAAAGCTTTCTAAAGCTTTCCACTTTAGCTGACACTACATTTATCTTAGGAAGCCCTGTGTGATTCAGCATTGTTAGTTATGAGGTAGATGAAGACCCTGAGGGCAGGTCCATCAAGTCTGCAGATGTCACTAAGCTGTGAAGGAAGGCATTCATGCTGTATGACAGAAACAACATTTAAAAAACATTGTGGCAGGAAGAAGAGATGAGATGGATCTAACAAAGTGCAATGCAGTAGGGATAAACACCAAGTAATATATTTGCTGACCCTAAACATACAAACTTACATGATGGGATAGGGCTTACTGAGGGGTTAATCTTAATTAAGTTTAATACAAGTCAACACTATGACATAACCAATAAATCAGGCTGAAAAGAAAGAACAGCACTTAACAAAGTGACATGCATCCCAATTCACTCCATGTTATTGAAGGCTTATGTTTAGTTCCCTCTCAGCTCCCTTATTTGAGAAATGAAGACAAGAATTTCTGTTCTACATATTATCACATAAATGTGATAATACACATAAAGGACATAGCTTATGTGTGGCAGAAGATATGTGTTCAGTTTTATGGTAGGTGATTGATGATGGTGATGATAGAAAATACTCAAAAGTGTAGAAGGAGACGGCAATTGTGAGAGCAAAAGAATTGAACATGGTGTGGACTGGTCAAGGAGTTGGAGATGTTTAAGCCAGAGATGAGACATCTCTGTGGATATATAAGAACTATTTTGTAAGAACTGAAGAGTTGGAATATGATAGAAGGTATTGGGGGTTCTATGATTATCAAGGGTATTAATCAAGATCCATGGGAAGAGAGAGAGAGTCCAACTATCAACATTAAGATACAGAGATGCACACTTGGCCTCCCACAGTGATGACTTCTGCAGGTCAGGAAAACTTCAATCATAGTCTTGATTTTAAATATGGTTGTTATGGAGAAGGCTTTAAGGTAACTATCAGCCCAGATATTCTTTAGTTTTATAAATATTTGACAAAGTAAGATATAACCATAAGGCCACAGGTCTTACTTTACAGACATGAAATGAGACATGGTATAGAATGTTCAGTCTTAATGTTTAAGTGTTGTTGATCTTTAATGCTTATAACTCTGAGTCCTCAACTGCTTCAAAATGGAAAGTGTTTTGTGATTATGATTTTTTTCCCTAATAGTCTACTTAAAGGCTGTCTTACCGTAGAAAATTTGTTTTAAAACAACAGAACCTTGTGACACTTTTTGAGGTGCCACTCTCTGTGACCTTGGATTAGGAATTTAGCCTTCTGGGCCTCAGTTAATTCTTCTTTACAAAGGGCACAATAAGATTTCCTAGTAGAGTTGGAACTGGGATAAAATTAGATAAAATTTGAATATGTTAGGTGAGAAAAGCAGTAGCATGATTTTCCACTCAAATGAGTTCTTGACCAGGTAAGTGTTATGAACTGCTTTGTTTAGCTGTAATTCTTATTCAGAAATATGATTTTTAAGAAAACATTAAGGAAAAAAATAATTTTCAAAGAACATATTGACTTCTTTTTAAACTTAGCAGTGTCCCTACTTGCCTTGGGTGACTCCTCAGAAAAGGGGGGAAAAAAACAGGGTATTTGCAAGGGCATGTAAACATCCATCTGTTTTGAACAAAAGGGAGGTGGCTGGGGATGGCAATGACTTGAGGAAATCTTTTCTGTCAGCTCTGTAAAGCATTTAGAAGGTTAGGTTTCTATAATGTTGCTTTCCCATCATTTCCCTAATGATGAAACCTCCTTAACCTCATTTCTAAACAGGACGGGAAGATATTCTGCCGACGGACAGCTTGTGATTGCCAGAATCCAAGCGTTGACCTTTTCTGTTGCCCAGAGTGCGACACCAGAGTCACAAGTCAATGTTTAGATCAAAATGGACATAAGCTGTATCGAAGTGGAGACAATTGGACCCACAGCTGCCAGCAGTGTCGGTGTCTGGTATGTCAGCTTGCTGTAGATGGTGACATCCTGTACTTTGGAAGAGTTTATAAACTCAGGGGTTATAAATTTGGCTGGTTCCCAACTCCTTCCCTTACCTTGGAGGGAATTTTGGGGTATGCCTAACCAAGGGGCATATGCTCTGCCTAAAGGCATTCAGACTGTATGTAAAACACTATGCAGAACAAAAACAACATATTTATAGAACAGATTTGACCCAAGCAATGTTAGTTTTACATAATGTTAGTTTACAGGTGTTATTTCTTAGGAAGTCCGTATCCAGAAAAATCCCTGCACAATAGATAATTTTCAAAGCATTTTCTGATACTTATGGTCTTTATAGAGCCCAATTTTTATTTCTTCTTCCATAAGCATTGGATGTTTTGACATGAGATGTAACTCAATATAGTAGAAATACCAGAGAGATTGAATGATATCGACCTAGAATACAATTCAGATTCTCTCATGTGCTAGCTCAGTATGATTACCTTGGGCAGGTCCTATCTATTCACTCATCATTCTTTTCCTCAAATGTGCATAGTTGTATGAATAGCTATTTCTTAGGACTCTTAGGTATGTGAAGGACAAATACCATACTTGACACATAGACAGCACTTAACATGGTTGCTACATTGTTAGTTATTTCCTACCTTCAAAAATCAGTTTCAGAGGCCGAACATCCATGTAGACAAATGGAGGTTGCCTTAGATATTAATATAAGGACATTAATAGTATAATGAAGTTTCAGAAGTCCAGAAATAGGCTCGATATCTGGACCTGATTCATTCTGTTTCAAAGTATTACACAAACCATGATTTCCAAGGATAGGAAGGCTTTTAGGACATATTTTTTTGCCATGAATGTGGTGTTTTATCTGTGGGTAGGTTTACAACTATGGATAATTCTGCATGAGTCAACTTGAAATGGACTTTCTTAGCTGGAGTTTTAACATTTGTTGAAGTATCAATGCTATATGTGTACTATACGGGTACTCTACAGAAACACACATTCAGAAAAAAACTATACTTTAAGTTTCCATCAAATTTTCTGAAGTCTCCAGGCAAAATGTGCAGATAATCTTAATAACATAATCCTTGTATTAGTACTATATTAGTCCTTTAATTTTGAGGATTATAACTCAGAAATTCAAATTACAGTGGCTGGGGTTGTGGCTCATCAGTACAGTGCTCACCTAGCACATGCAAAGTGCTGGGTTCGATACTCAGAACCACATAAAAATAAATACATAAAATAAAGGTATTGTGTCCAACTACAACTAAGAAAAAAAAATTTAAAAAAGAAATTAAAATTGCAGCAAATATTTTTTTTCCAAATCCTCATCTAAGGATGAACATATCCAATATGACTATAAGATTGGCTTCCATACCAGTCTGGGATACTGCATGTCTTTTTCTAGAAGCCAATAATTGGGTAGCCAGAAGAATTGGTATTAATTTTTTATATGGAATTTTCACAAGAATTTCAAAACATATATTCTGTCCCCAGTCTCAATAAAACAGAAGGTGTTGAACATTAACTTAAAAATTACTTGAAAATAATGTGGGTCATATTTAATAAATATTTATCAGGACTTTGCCTGTGTCAGACTCTGGATAATAGTGAGTGAAACAAAAATGATCTCTATCTGTAAAAGCCTGGAGTCTTGTAAAGCTGACTGAATAATTAGTTACCATGTGTTATAATAAGTGTCATGATAACAGAAAAAGAGGCTGCAGAGAGAAGCAGTTCTATTACAAGGAGCTCAATGGAGTCCCAGTTGGCAGATGCTGAGACACATAGATAGAAATTCCATTTAAACTGAAATATAGTTTTTTCAATGAAACTGAAAACTTTTTTGAAATGGTTCTTCTGAAAATGCCCAACTTCAACTTTAAATTTGTTACTGGCAACATTTTAGTCATCTGTTTTATTGCTGTGACTAAAAGACTTGACAAGAACTATTTTAAGAAGGAAAAGTTAATTTGGTCGGCTCAGGGTTTCAGAGGTCTCAGCTCACAGACAGCTGAATGCATTTCCCAGGACTTGGGGTAAGGCTGAACATCATGGCAAAAGTGTGTGGCAGAGGAAAACACTGGGGACTAGGTACCCGGAAGGAGAAAGACGGGGCTCTTTGTTCAACAATGACAAAATATATATCCCAAAGGCATGCTTCCAGGGACCCACCTCCTCCAGCCATAATCTACCTGCCCATAGTTACCACCCAGTTAATTCTTGCCAGGGTAACACACTGATTAGGTTAAGACTGTCATAACACAATCATTTCACCTCTAAACTTTCTCGCATTGTCTCACACATGAGCTTTGGGGGATACCTCATATCTAAACCATAACAAAATCAGTTTATGAAGTTGTTGGAATATTATATTTCATGTTCTATTTTTGACCTTAAGTGAAATTAGTATCTCTTACCACCATATTTATTTATTCATTTTATTATTATTTCTTCACAAATGTGTGCTAAGTATAAGGCAGAAAAAGAAACTAGCCCAAATCCTGAAATTTCAAAACTTAATGAGAAACAGTACTGATGATTATGATATAATCATAGTATCAAACTAAAAATAATGATGGGCTGTGTTTGACACACAGAGAAGCTGACCTAACTCTTTCTATAGACCACAGAAAGAGCAAAGACCATCAGCAAAGGCATCCTGAAGAAGGTTGATAACTGTAATTGTCTTTAAGAGGGAAACCCACAAGTGTGCTAACCAGTGACTTTCAATGACGAGAATGGTGAAAATCACTGTGCTCTCTTTCACCTCATAGGACTTTGGGATAAAATTGTGCCTAGGAACAATGATGCGTCATTCTTGGCTTTCTCTCCACAGGAAGGAGAGGTAGATTGCTGGCCACTCGCTTGCCCCAATTTGAGCTGTGAATACACAGCCATGTTGGAAGGGGAGTGCTGTCCCCGCTGTGTCAGTGACCCCTGCCTGGCTGATAACATTGCCTATGATATCAGGAAAACTTGCCTGGACAGCTACGGTGTTTCTAGACTCAGCGGTGCAGTATGGACAATGGCCGGATCTCCCTGCACAACCTGTAAATGCAAGGTAATTGGGTTCCCTGAAATATTCAGGCTTCACCAGTTTATCAGAACATCTGCAAGAGGTTTACTCTGGTTTCTGAGTGTGTAGGTTCCATGGGGCATTGTGGAAACAGGCCTTTACATCCCACAGGATGTTCATGTATCTGAATGGATCATAGCTGCACCTTGTATAAAGGCTAGTTCCAAATGAACAATGTAGAATAAAACAGTCTGGCTTGATTTTAAATTGCAGAACTTTAACAACTGACTCAGCCCAATTTTATGCTATTTTGACCTGTATGTTAGAAAAAGAAAGAAACAAAATGAAAGAAATGAGGAGAGAAAGAAAAAAATATCTACTTCCTTTCATGCTGGAAAATTTTATGAGTTCCTTCATGAAACTGTCAATGGAAGAAAAAAATCAGTATTCTGTGATGATGTTCATTCTGTTTAATTATCAAAGTGCCCATTGGGGAATGCCTTAATGATTAATGTTATTAATGTGAATTTCTTTTTTCTAACCTGGAAAATATTATCTTAAGATGTTGCCCCAGTAGGAAAAGGATAATATCAGACTTCACATAGCAAGAGAGCTATGGCCCCATTTGTACCCTCCACCAGAGCAAACCAAGTGACCAGGCTACATTAACACTTGTATTATTTAATGTTATTTTTTGATATCATATTTGAGAGTTATTAAACAAAATTATGAAAGCATATTGAGATTACTACATGAATTTGATTCTTAATGTAATTCTCAAAAATGTATACAACTGGATAAGCACAATCTCCTTCTTAATCATCATATGAGACATTATATTGATCCCTAAGATGCATGCCTTTCTGGAACCCATCTTGGATTTGTCTTCAGATTCTTGTGATGCTTGGTTAGCCCTTTAAGAGGCAAGTCATCATCATTAAGAGATTTATTTTTGGAAAGAATCTTATTTGGAATAAGTCTAGACAATAAGTTTTGTGAAAACTTGGATTGGTGGGTCAGTATGTCAAGCATACATTGAGTGTGTAAGTAAGGCCATATGTGGCCCTGCCAGCAGAACCCCAGCAAGAGGAGACCCTGCAGGGTTGATCCATGCTTTCTTCCCTTACATTCCTTCATAAGTGTTTTTATAGCATCCTTTTTAAATAAAGATCGCAGACTCCTTGCTGATGGACTTACATGTCTCCCTACATTAACACTTGTGTCCTTTTTGTACAGAATGGGAGAGTCTGCTGTTCGGTGGATTTGGAGTGTCTTCAAAATAACTGAAGTATTTAAAATGGACTCATCACAGGAGAAAAAATGGACAAAATGATCATCCAACATGATGAAGAATAAGAGTTGATTTTTTTAACCACAATTACCAAAGTCTCCATTGGAGGAAGGTGTTTGGGGGTCGCCTCGTAGACCTGCCACTTTGCTCATTCTTGCTAACCTAGTCTAGGTGACCTACAGTGCAGTGCATTTAAGTCTATGGTTGTTAAGAGAAGTCCCCAGTGTTGTAAATCACATTTCCCTTATCAGATCATTTGCAAACACATTTAAATGATCTCATGGTAAATGTTGATGTATTTTTTGGTTTATTTTGTGTACTAACATAATAGAGACTCAGCACCATTTATTTATTTATTTTTATTGATTTTTGGATCAAATTCTAAAAAAAAAAAAATAAAGTTGCCTGTTGTGATATTGTCCCATCCACTGTATACTGTGAAATGTATTGACAAAGATATGTATGTGGAGTCCAATTCCATCATACTTATATTTCAAACTGTTGAACGGAATTAGAGACCCACTCATCCAGCTTAAACATGCCCAAGGCAATTATGATACCTTAAAGTGGGGAAGGACTCCAAACACAATTCAATAGTTATTTAGAAAAGGACTCTATCCTCCCTTCTGCAAATAAAAATAAAAAATAAATACAAAATGTTAACTTGCAATTTAGAAGCAGCAATGCTTAAAACTACTTTTTTAGCAGTGAAGGCAAAAATATCTTTGCATTGGTTTTATGTATAATTTCATAACTAATAAACAACTTTAATAGTTATTAATGTAAGTTATCATCATAGTACAGGTGAATAGGATTATCCCTCTATTATATACACATGCACTTGAGAGTCTGATAACCAGCTTTTTCAGTGTTAGTTGATTTACAGCATGTAAATGGTTACCATGGTTTGGTAACCAAGGCCCGCAATTCTTGTCCAGTACTGTTTTACACTAAAACACATTGCCTTTCATATGGACAAAGGGGACACTTGAAAAAAATCTATTCATGTGCTCTGTTATTTTAGAACAATGAATACTTCCACATAAGCCAGTACAATAGTTCTAAAACTTGAAGCTATTGAGTTATATAAAATTAACAAAATATGTAATGACATTTTAACTGAGATGAGAATTCAAACTTTGGTTTTACTTTCAGGTAAATCACATCTTCTTCTGAATTAAGTTAGTTCAATGGTTTTCTGCTCATTCTTTCAACATCAAAACATCTTACCTTGTTATGTCAGTCATGCTCAAAATATTTAAATCCTAAAATAATTATTAGCTTAAAATTATGATCTTCAATCAATATTATTATTGGTTTTTGTCCAATAGATAATATTTTTTGTGAAAATGAAGTTCACTAATGAAATCAAGTTCATGTTACATCTGGTAAAAGCAGTTGAAATACTACATCTTTCAAAGACTGATATAATGTGGTAAATTAGAGAACATTTCTATTTTAATTTAATTCCTTAAATGAAAGCTTGGAGTGAAGAATTTGAAGATTACTCTTTTGAAAATATTAATGACTATCCAATTAAAAGAACTTCCAATATTGGTGGTAAAATGAGGACATTTACAATAATTGTTTGTGATTTTATATATCTGGAATTGTATATAGTGGAACTATGGACCCATGTGTCAAAACCAACCCTTTGCCTGTTTGGAACACAGATAGGTCTGTCCATTAATAGGTTTTCTACAGTTGTAGAGATAGAAAGGCAGAGTTGGGTGGTTCCTATAAATACTTTCTTGTTCACAAAGCCAAAACTGTTATTATGTTTTCCTGTGCAGAAAACCTTTATGTATCTCTGATATAGATGATGACTGCATACTGTTGTGTATTTGAGAAGTGTTTCCACTTTTTTTTCCCAAGGCATTCTCAAAGCTCAACAGTTTTTTTTTTTTTTTTATTTGAATATTTTCTTACTTTATTGCAGTTCCATTAGGATTGGTAGCAACATCTTAAAATACTCTGATTTTACAAATACAATCATAAGACTCAATATTTTCTTCTTTCCACTTGAGAACTGATGGGGTAAATTTAATCTGGGGCAACTTGTTGACAACATGTTATTGGTATTTCTAGCACATTTTAAACCACTGCCAGTTCCTCTTAATAAGGTATATATGCCTATAAAACAATGGATGAGATTCACTTTTTAAATAACATTGAGTCAGGAAGGGTATTGCATACCTATAGTCCCCATCACTCAGGGCGCTGAGATGAGAGGCTTCCTTGATCCCATGAGTTTGAGACCAGCCTGCACAACATAATAAGACCTTATGAACACCCCCTCTTTATATATAAGGTACTTTATATTTAAGGTACATGCTATACTGAAGAAATGAAAAGATGAATAAAACAGAACTTTATTTTAAAGATAAGCATTATATGGACCTTCAGAAGGTACTAACAATCTTTGAACCCATTCAGATGTTCTAAGCAAATATGATACTACTGGAAATATGTTCTTAACCATGAAATTTTAAAGTTACTTTTTAAAAGTTTTGGAGCTGGGAATATGATTTAGTGGTAAAGCATTTACCTAGTGTATGGGCTCCACAGGATTCAATCCCCAGCATAGTAAAAACAAATATACACAAATAAATAAAAATCTGGTAAATTTCCTGATACAATATGTTTAGCTACCATGCAACAATTTGCAATGTAAAATTGGTGTCCATTTAATGAGCCAAAGCAATGTTTGACAAATCTGTCTCCTTACGGACCACAACCATTGCCTGTACCACCTTGAACACAAAGATGCTGACATAATATGGGCAAGAAATATGAAAAAACCCATGAGCAATTGCAGCTATCCTCCCAGTGTTCCTATGGGAAATGCTTGTGACTCAGGAGAGCAGATTATTAAGGCAGATGAAAGTTCTATGTTAGACACATGTCTATTAAACACACATTTGCTTCATTCTTTCTAGGTTGCATATGAACAGATATATGTGCACATATAACATATTTGTTATACAAAAGTTGCACATGGACATATATAATATTCATTTGCAATCTGCAATGCATATTTATATTACATATATTCATATGCAACATGCATATATACATACATATAACTATCTTAAGTTTCCTCTCTTCTGAACTTTATGTGTCTGTGCTTATGTCACTGTTATGTCCTTCTAATACACATTTACCTTGTATTATGGTAACCTTAGACTGGGTGAGGCTATAAACCAACTGTGTATGGATATCATCTTACAGCATTTAACATAGTGCCTTGCATAGAATGAATTTTCAATTAAGTCTTTAAATATTGAATTCATATTTTTCTTATTATAAAAAATACCACGGGATATTGAAAACAATCTACCCTAGCAGATTTCAAATGCTCTTAAGTACTAACAACTAATTGAAAAAAATCAAAATTTATTGAGCTCTCCAACATAAAAACTGAATTAAAGCAAGGTTTCTCTGGATAGATTGGGGGTATAGTGGTAGGGCATTTGGGACCCCTTCACATACTTGACCCCAGTTTATAGCTTTCAACAAAGCACAGCTGGACAGCTATTCGACTAACTACTCAAATATACTTCTATGGATGAGTAAACCAACACTCAGTGTAGCTAAGTGACTTGTGCCCAGAGTTCACAACTAATTAATCATAGAAAAATAGGTCTGTTTATCCCCATGCCAGCTTTCTAAGAATTCAAAATGTATATCCACATTTCAATTTCAAGATAACTTTTCCTACTCCTAAGTGGATGACATTAAAGACAATCATGGATGAGATATTGTATCTGTTATTGTCTCTGTGTTCCATCTCCCTTCTAATTGTGCTACTGCTTTATGAAAATCTTCATGATGGTTTTGTGAAACATTCAGATTACAAGACTGGACAGCATTTTCAAATGCAGAATAACAATAAGCCACTTACTCAATCACCTAATCTCAGTCTTTATGGGCAAACATTAAGGAAAAATAAAACAGTTTACAAAACCAACTATTTCTTAAGACTTACACACACCAGCATACGATGAAATATGGCATTGAAAGGAATTCCTACATAGATAACCTGATTTCCGATTTTATTATTCATTCACCATTTATTCTATCATTAAGTCAGTGACAATGTAGCAGGCTCTTCAGATACAGAGATGAATAAGACAAAATTGGTCACTATCCTTATGGCATTTGTAACTTAATGTGCAAAAGAAGTAAACTAGAAAATATTTACTTCAGCAATATAATATTAGGCTGTATTAATACTAGGAAGAAAAAAAGTGAATTAAAAAAATGGAGATGAACCGGAGAATCTCACTTCAAAATAATCAAGGAAAATCTCTAAATGGGGGTGATAAGCAAGGAGGGATGGAGAATGTGGAGTAGCCACCTGTGCACAATGCTGTGGGAATATCTTCCCAATCAAAAGAAGTAAATGCTAAGGACTGCAGTAGAAAGACACTAGGTACGCGAAGGTCATGAGTGGAACCGAAGGCTAAGTAAAGGAGCAACGATATGAGGTTGCAGGAGTTGACTAGAGCTGGACATTACAGGTCACGGTAATGTGAAGGCCCTGGTCATTCTGGGAAATGAAAACATCAATGGGAAGTTACTAAAGGAGTAAGCATTTATTTACTCACCTTTTCATTCATTCACATATTTATGCCTTTTAAGATATCAATTCGTCTATATTTACTATTCTGAAAACATGAAACTCCTGTTATTTACCTAGGAAAAATATCAGTGAGAACAACATTTTTCCTTAGAAATTGAAGCTCTGCACTGTGCTATCACAAAGCAATCAAACTACATGAGATGGCATGTCCAGAAATAAGGTCAAGGAATACATCAAAAACTGGATCTGTAACTTTTTTTTTTCCTCTGTAGTGCCCTCATTTAAATAATTAGTTTTTGACCATTTGAATCATAGTAAGTTCAGTAGTTTGTGACAGTGATATCATCTTGGCTTATAACACCAGTGCAGGGTAATAGAACACTGAAGAGGATAAGAGTCTGTTGGATTAAA